GGGGGGGGAAAAACCCTTCCCTGTGCTGGAAAGGGAGGGCAAAGAGTCTAGCTGCTCTTGCATAAGTAAATTGAATGAAAGAGAAGGTTCTGATGGAAAAATGCTGCTAGCGCCCAGTCTGCTGTGGGGGTTTAGGATTCAGAGGGCTCACCTTGGCTTTGTACATGACCCTGGGGAGGGGTAGTGCCTGTGTGTTCTGTCTGGAGCTGCAATAAATGAGGCCTTTGAACTACCCTGAGAGTGAATGTATAGTCAAGCTCTTAAAACGATGCAGCTGAGCAAACTGCTTTGTTTAATCTGCCCTGTCGGGGCTTGCTGTAGCAGGGTCGTGCAGGTGCTGTGCATGAAGCTTCCTTTTTGACCCCCCTGGGAAATGCCCAGGGCACTTTGTGGCAAGAAGCCGTACTGTGGCTTTGGCCACAGGCCTAAGAGTCAGTCCAGTAGCACAGGACTAGGAGGCTGGTGGCCAAGGGGGAGCCTGCTGCTGTTGGAGAGTTCAACCAGTTCAGGCTGCCCTAGTGAGGGAAAACCCATGGGCTCTGCTGCTCCCGGCATCTGACCTGCTTAGTGGTCTGCTCCTTGGTTAGTCCTCTTGCTTCTGCACAGCTTTTGAGGTGTCCTCTACCTTTGTTGGGGTGGGAGATGAGTTTCTTCGGGCTCTGCTTCCCTCTGGTGGACAAGTGCTCCTGCTGCTGCCCGAGAGCCAGGGCCGGGTCAGCAAGGAGCAGGGTGTTACTGCTATGCACAGATGAGCACAGCACCCACCTTTTCTTCCATCCTGGTTTGTGTTTGCTCTTACCTTCCTTCCAGCAGTGCTGGTTCTCGGCGTTCATCCCTTTAAACCCTCACTGTTTGTCCTACCAGGAACACACAGCAAGGAGGGCAGTGGGGCTGCTGTCCTGCCAGCAGAAAGGAGCACCCAGGCATGGGAGGCTGGAGCCAGAGCAGGTGACGATGACAACAGTCAAGGCTGGTGGGAAACACAGGCACTCTGTGCGTTTTCCCAGCTCTGAGCTGCAGGCACACAGCTGCACAGAGCCAAGGGGCCATGAGGCAGGCAGGGCACGAGGGGAGATGGCCAAACACTCTGTGCCACCTTCTGGGTTCTGGTTGCAGGGTAGGCAACACCAACCTGGGGCTCTCACACAGGTTTTAGAGAGATTTGGGGCCCTCCTTGGCTCAGCCCAAGCCTCCCTGGTCCAGTTCAGAAACAAAAGGACATTTCTGCAAGCGATAATGAGTGGTTTATTCTTTTCAGAGGGCTGGGGACGGGGCAGGAGGGGGAAGAGGAGCAGAGGGCTCCTTCCCGTCTCACCCCACGGCAGACATTACCCACACACACACATGCAACCAGGGACGGGCTCGGGCACCAGCCAGCGGGGCCCGGAGGAGATGCACTTGGAAGCCACAAAAAATACCAGGGTTGGGGGGAGGTCACTGTGGTAGCAGCAGAGATAAAAACCACAGGGAGGGAGTCCCAGGGCATGGTGCTAAGCTGAGCAAGGGAAGCTCCAGAAGGGGAGCATGGCCTCTCCCCAGGGGTGGGCACCTGGAATCCCTTTTCCACCAGGAAGGACCTAGAGGAGAAGACAGCCTAGCCCAGACTGCAGCCTCCTCTTGGAGACACCAACAAACACAAGCAGAGACAGAAGAACATGTAAGGCTGCAAAACCTCATGCCTACCCCACCCCGGGGCAGCCCTTGAGGCAAACCTCCCCCAGCAGGCAGAGCTGCCAGTGCCACTGGGGGTCACAAGTGCCTGGGGCAGTGACCCTGGGCCCAGCTCCCCTCCAAGGACAGCCTGCCTAGCCCACCAGCTTGTTCCAGGGGACAGTGCTGAAGAAGGCGTGGGACTTCAGCTTCGCCATGCCACCTCCTCCAGAGCCCAAGCGCCGCTTTGGGTTGTACTGCAGGAGCTGCAGAGAAAGGGGATGGGACAGCAGGACACTGGAAGAGCTGCCCAGGCTGGACCCTCTAGCCCCGTCCTCCCTCCCAACCCCCCAGGCCCCTCACCTCTGTGAGCAGCGACGTGGCGGCCAGGCTGAGCCCCTCCGGCAGATGCAGCTGGGTGTGAGGTTGAATCCCTGAAGGGTGGTTTTGGTAGAGTGGCTGCAGGAGGCAGAGGGTGATGGTGAGCAGAGGCACTGAGGAGGGTACGAGCCCCCCGCTGAGCCTCCATCACCGTGCAACCCCAGCTCTGCACAGCAGGGTTGAAAACCAGGTGGCTGAACAGCCGGACACCGTGCACAGGCACCAGGAACCACACACCTGAAGTAAGCTGGCACAGTGCTGAGGTGCCAGCAGGGCAAGGCACCCTCCCAGCCCCATGTGGCAGGGAGCTCTTGTGCTACGGTGTCACCTCCTCCTCCCCGGCCCTCGCACAGCTCCTCTGCCTCTTACCACTCCTGTCAGCAACTCGTACAAGAGGGAACCAAAGCTCCAGCAGTCGGCTGCTTCGGTGGGCTCCGTGATCCCCCCCACTTCTGCAGAAAGAACCAGAGAGGCGTTAGAGCTGGAGTCAGGAAGCACCAGTGGCTGCGCAGTGCCAGGCACATCTCGCTGCCTGCAGGAGCCACTTCTCCGCTGGCTGGCAGCAGTGGGCGACGGGCAGGAGGAGGCAGGGGACATGTCCCTTACCTGGGGCACTGTACAGCTCTTCTCGTGCCTGGCTGCAGCACTGGGGCTCCACCTCTGTCCACTGGCCAAAGAAGGTGAGACGGACGTGACCTGCAGAGTAGCACCAGAGCAGGGAGGTTAGGACTTTGGTCAGAGCACAAAGCCAAGCCCTGTCCCTGCCACTGGGAACAGCCAGGGCACTGGGTCCCTGCCGTGCTACAACACAGAGACACTGTGCATCCTCTGGCACTGTACGTTCTCCAGCCTCCCAGTGCTTGACCCAGCACATCTCTGCAGCTGGTAAGACTGGTTAGGTGGGCTCCAACCTCGCAGACCCCAGGGCAGGCTGTAGTGAGGAGAGCAGCAGTGCCACGGGGAGGGAGGTTAGCTTTCCCCTCACAAAGCTCTCCACATTTTTCTTTTCCTAAGCCCTTTCCAGTTTGCCCCAGCTGTTGCCAGTGAGCAGGGACGTGTGCTGCGCTTGCACTGGCAGCGGTACCCATGGCTTGAAGGGATGGGCAACCTCCAGAATACCCCAGTGAGCAGTAACTACAAGCAGGGGAAAGCTGCGGTCCCACTAACCTCAGGCACAGTTCAGCTGGTCTCAGCCTCCCCATACTGGGATTTCCCAGGCAGCCAGCCCCAGTGCGGGAGCAGGGCCAACGCATTCCTGTGGCTGCAGAGCCATCTCTTGTAATTACTGCTTGGAAATCGCAATTGAGACTGCACTTCCAGGTTCAGAAACATCCAAACCTCCCCAGAGTCCCACCACCCCCCAAAGCAAACCCAAGACATTCCGTGTCCCTGGAAATGGGACCAACGGCAGTCTCCCAGCCAAGATGCCAATCTCCTTCTCCTCAGGGCAGCAGCCTGGGGCACTACCTACCGGCTGTATCAAGCAGCAGGTTCCTGGGGTTGAGGTCCCGGCACAATACACCCTGTTGGTGAAGTCCCTCTAAGGCCAGGAGGATTTCTGCTGCCCACAGCTGCACCTGCTCCTCCTTCACAGCCCACGCTCTCTGGCTGTGTCCACGGGAAGCCAGGAACTGGCACTGTCCTGAGAGTGGCTGCTCTCTGAGCAGGTTTGCCCCCTGCGCCGCTGGGTCAGGCCCACGGGGCTTGCCAAAGCTGGACGGGACAACTCCTGCACGAAGTTGCCTCTGACCCGAGGTCAGGAGAGGCCGAGCGCAGGGGACCTCAGACCCTTGCCGAGGTGGTGTCTCCCCTGCCCCTAGCTGGCCTCGTCCCACAGTCTTTGGTACGGGAACGGGTGTCTGGGGAAGCCTTCCACCGGCACGTGGCCCAGGGTCTTCTTGAGAGGCTTCTCTCTCCGAGATGCAGCCTGTGCGGCTGGTTAGAGCGTCCCAGGGATAGATGACGAGGCCCTGGTTGGTAAGGTGGCTGGGGTCTTTGGCTGATGCTGCTGGAACATGGTCCACGATGCCAGGCATAGCCTGGGTCATGCTTAGATCCTGCCCTCCAGATGCAGCCCTCGTGCCACCGGCGGGAGTGGGGTGAAGCTGGCAATGGTTCCCCGAGCCAGGGTCCGTGGTGTCAGGGGACTGATCCCGAGGGGGCAAGGCTTTGGTGTTTCCTGAGCCTGGGAGGTCGGTGACCATCTGAGCAGAGAAGATGGAGACTTGGCTGCTGCCCTGGGAGCTTCCCACGCCATCCTCTCTGCCATGGTTCCTCAGGGCTTGGACGGTGTTTGAATCCGCAGAGCCCTGCTGGACACTGTACTTGGAGCGGAGGTGAGACCACAGTGTCTCCCCTGGAAAGTGGAGAGAAGAAGAAGTGATGTGGCAGAAGGCATCCCTGGTTCCCCCACTCTGGCCGCTGCCCATCCAGGCACAGGCCAAGGCCTCCATGCTGGGGACGTCACTGAGCATCATTAATCTCCCCAGCAAAGCTCAAGTCCATGCAGACTTTGAGACCAAAGCTCAAGTCCATGCATCTCCCCAGCCCCATAAACACACCATGCTCAATGCCACACCTCCCCTGGGACCTGGTACACCAAAGGCTTGTTCTCCCCTCCTTTAGCAGACCTGCTACCCGCCCCGTTCCCCCCGTCTCCTTGATCCCAGCTCTGCCACTTCCATGTCACAGGTCAGCCACATCTTCACACGTGCCCCTGATCCCACCGCCATCCCCACTTCCTCCTCAAAGTCTTTCCTCCCCATGTGACGGTGATGTTAGAGAGCTCCTGCAGTGTGGCACTGACCCTGTGGGTCAGCAATGAGCCAGAGCAGTGAGCCCCAGAGCCCACAGTGCACTGATGGGGCTTCCTACCCTCACCACATGCAGCTGCTGGCTGCTTTCTGCAAATTCATCCTACAGCAAGGCACGAGGAGCTGAGGCTGTTCTCCAACACACGTCAGCCTTCATTTGTCATTGCTGGACTCCAGCTGCTGCTCCCTACACATCCGTGCAACCAGCAGAGAGCAAAGAAGCTCCCTGGGACAAGCCTCCACTTTGTCACACTTCCTCATCAGGATCTGGGACAGGCCCCACGCTTGCCTCCTTTTTGTACCCGAACCCAAATGTGCTCCCTGCCCTTTATGTCCCAATTATCCATCTCCTCTCTTTGGTCTGATCTCAAAATCCAGTGTGGCCTCTTCTTTTGTAACCAAAAAATGTTCTGTGAAGTTCTTATCATAAGTTTTGTTCTGCAACATCCAGGTGAACTACCTCACTTGGTTCTCCTCCATCACTTTCCTGTCCTCCTCCTGGACAAACAATGCCAGTAAAATGAAGAGGTTTTTCTTTTCAAGACACTGGACCACATCAACCTCAAGGCATGACCATTCCCTCCTATAGGATTCAGTGGTCCCTAAGGCTAGTTTCCATATAACACCCCTACACACACAACCTCTTTCTCCATGTAGGTCTCCACAGCCCATTTCTAGGTTACTTCCCCAGTCAGCTCTTACAAAGTTCCAGAATCCTCAATACAGCTGAGCAGTTTCACAAAGCATCTAAGCCCTGTGACTCATCACCCTTCTATGAAGAAGACACCTTGTGTTGTCACTCTAAAAAACAGTTCCAAACCACCAGAAGAAACGTATTTGAGACTTTAAGGAAAGGGAGGCTGAGGTCAAGAGCAGGATGCTCCACAGATGGGAGGCACTGCTGTCCCTACTCACCCTGCACGTGCTCCAGGTGGAGGAAGATGGAGTCTTCACTCACGTAGTAGCACAGCAGCTTGACCATGAAGGGGACCCCATGAGGGATGATAGTCTGTCGTTCACGGGTCTCAACATGGGATTTGGGGAGGCTCTGAGGAGGTACAGGTAGATGGATGTTACAGCACAGTAGAGGCTTAGGCTCCCCGCAACCTCACACCTGGCAGGGCAGGAGGCCATCTGCTATTTGCTAAGCCCCATGGCTGGCCTCATGTGTCACCCACGGTGGAGCTCCCTGTCAGCCCCAGCACCCATCTGTGACAAGGCAGGGCTCTACAAAGCTCTGCCAAGGCAGAGCACTCTTAACCTGCACGGCAGGACCCAGAGGACACTGCTGGTCCACAGCAGTGGCCTTCCCCTACAACTGCCCCTACTTCCTTCAGATGGGAATCCATCATCCCAGCCCTCGGTGGATCTGACTGCTGGCTTCCTGCGTGCGAGGGCTTGGCCCGCTACCAGCAAAGAGCTGGGAGGGGTGTGTGTGCCAGGTCTTTCGGTGTAATGTATATCCCAGCCCAAGGCTGCTGGTTTTGGGGGGGGAGGGGGGGGCAGTCCTTAATCCGATAGCGCACACATGTATGGGGGAGTGAGGGGGGTTGGTAGTGCCTGCAGAGTCTATTACTCTTACCCTCTACACAGAACTTGTAACTAAAATATTTAACACAGCGGATTTTAAATGAAATAAAAGTGGGCAACGACTGCGCGGTGGGGTGTGTTTGAGGGGGTGAGGAGCACCCCTGGTGTGGTGTAAGAAGCCTGGTTACCTGATGGTGAGAGAAGAGAGGGAACGGGAGTCGGGCCTGTTTCTGGTGGTACTAAATTGAGGCTTCTCTGGTTGTGAATTCTGCTGCCTTCAAACCTCTTTTTGGCACAGAATTGGCTTTTCCCAGCACGGATGAGGTTTTTCAGGGCTGGAAACCATGCTTTTGGCGGTCTAGCACCAGAACTGTTACAGGCAGCGAGGAAATCCCGGTATTTGCTGAAGGGCAGGGTGGCGGGGAGGGGGGAAGGGGGACGGGTCACGTAAAAGTGCGGGTGTGGGGGCGGTTTGGGTTTTGTGGTTTTGGTAGAGTGGCTGCAGGAGGCAGAGGGTGATGGTGAGCAGAGGCACTGAGGAGGGTACGAGCCCCCCGCTGAGCCTCCATCACCGTGCAACCCCAGCTCTGCACAGCAGGGTTGAAAACCAGGTGGCTGAACAGCTGGACACCGTGCACAGGCACCAGGAACCACACACCTGAAGTAAGCTGGCACAGTGCTGAGGTGCCAGCAGGGCAAGGCACCCTCCCAGCCCCATGTGGCAGGGAGCTCTTGTGCTACGGTGTCACCTCCTCCTCCCCGGCCCTCGCACAGCTCCTCTGCCTCTTACCACTCCTGTCAGCAACTCGTACAAGAGGGAACCAAAGCTCCAGCAGTCGGCTGCTTCGGTGGGCTCCGTGATCCCCCCCACTTCTGCAGAAAGAACCAGAGAGGCGTTAGAGCTGGAGTCAGGAAGCACCAGTGGCTGCGCAGTGCCAGGCACATCTCGCTGCCTGCAGGAGCCACTTCTCAGCTGGCTGGCAGCAGTGGGCGACGGGCAGGAGGAGGCAGGGGACATGTCCCTTACCTGGGGCACTGTACAGCTCTTCTCGTGCCTGGCTGCAGCACTGGGGCTCCACCTCTGTCCACTGGCCAAAGAAGGTGAGACGGACGTGACCTGCAGAGTAGCACCAGAGCAGGGAGGTTAGGACTTTGGTCAGAGCACAAAGCCAAGCCCTGTCCCTGCCACTGGGAACAGCCAGGGCACTGGGTCCCTGCCGTGCTACAACACAGAGACACTGTGCATCCTCTGGCACTGTACGTTCTCCAGCCTCCCAGTGCTTGACCCAGCACATCTCTGCAGCTGGTAAGACTGGTTAGGTGGGCTCCAACCTCGCAGACCCCAGGGCAGGCTGTAGTGAGGAGAGCAGCAGTGCCACGGGGAGGGAGGTTAGCTTTCCCCTCACAAAGCTCTCCACATTTTTCTTTTCCTAAGCCCTTTCCAGTTTGCCCCAGCTGTTGCCAGTGAGCAGGGACGTGTGCTGCGCTTGCACTGGCAGCGGTACCCATGGCTTGAAGGGATGGGCAACCTCCAGAATACCCCAGTGAGCAGTAACTACAAGCAGGGGAAAGCTGCGGTCCCACTAACCTCAGGCACAGTTCAGCTGGTCTCAGCCTCCCCATACTGGGATTTCCCAGGCAGCCAGCCCCAGTGCGGGAGCAGGGCCAACGCATTCCTGTGGCTGCAGAGCCATCTCTTGTAATTACTGCTTGGAAATCGCAATTGAGACTGCACTTCCAGGTTCAGAAACATCCAAACCTCCCCAGAGTCCCACCACCCCCCAAAGCAAACCCAAGACATTCCGTGTCCCTGGAAATGGGACCAACGGCAGTCTCCCAGCCAAGATGCCAATCTCCTTCTCCTCAGGGCAGCAGCCTGGGGCACTACCTACCGGCTGTATCAAGCAGCAGGTTCCTGGGGTTGAGGTCCCGGCACAATACACCCTGTTGGTGAAGTCCCTCTAAGGCCAGGAGGATTTCTGCTGCCCACAGCTGCACCTGCTCCTCCTTCACAGCCCACGCTCTCTGGCTGTGTCCACGGGAAGCCAGGAACTGGCACTGTCCTGAGAGTGGCTGCTCTCTGAGCAGGTTTGCCCCCTGCGCCGCTGGGTCAGGCCCACGGGGCTTGCCAAAGCTGGACGGGACAACTCCTGCACGAAGTTGCCTCTGACCCGAGGTCAGGAGAGGCCGAGCGCAGGGGACCTCAGACCCTTGCCGAGGTGGTGTCTCCCCTGCCCCTAGCTGGCCTCGTCCCACAGTCTTTGGTACGGGAACGGGTGTCTGGGGAAGCCTTCCACCGGCACGTGGCCCAGGGTCTTCTTGAGAGGCTTCTCTCTCCGAGATGCAGCCTGTGCGGCTGGTTAGAGCGTCCCAGGGATAGATGACGAGGCCCTGGTTGGTAAGGTGGCTGGGGTCTTTGGCTGATGCTGCTGGAACATGGTCCACGATGCCAGGCATAGCCTGGGTCATGCTTAGATCCTGCCCTCCAGATGCAGCCCTCGTGCCACCGGCGGGAGTGGGGTGAAGCTGGCAATGGTTCCCCGAGCCAGGGTCCGTGGTGTCAGGGGACTGATCCCGAGGGGGCAAGGCTTTGGTGTTTCCTGAGCCTGGGAGGTCGGTGACCATCTGAGCAGAGAAGATGGAGACTTGGCTGCTGCCCTGGGAGCTTCCCACGCCATCCTCTCTGCCATGGTTCCTCAGGGCTTGGACGGTGTTTGAATCCGCAGAGCCCTGCTGGACACTGTACTTGGAGCGGAGGTGAGACCACAGTGTCTCCCCTGGAAAGTGGAGAGAAGAAGAAGTGATGTGGCAGAAGGCATCCCTGGTTCCCCCACTCTGGCCGCTGCCCATCCAGGCACAGGCCAAGGCCTCCATGCTGGGGACGTCACTGAGCATCATTAATCTCCCCAGCAAAGCTCAAGTCCATGCAGACTTTGAGACCAAAGCTCAAGTCCATGCATCTCCCCAGCCCCATAAACACACCATGCTCAATGCCACACCTCCCCTGGGACCTGGTACACCAAAGGCTTGTTCTCCCCTCCTTTAGCAGACCTGCTACCCGCCCCGTTCCCCCCGTCTCCTTGATCCCAGCTCTGCCACTTCCATGTCACAGGTCAGCCACATCTTCACACGTGCCCCTGATCCCACCGCCATCCCCACTTCCTCCTCAAAGTCTTTCCTCCCCATGTGACGGTGATGTTAGAGAGCTCCTGCAGTGTGGCACTGACCCTGTGGGTCAGCAATGAGCCAGAGCAGTGAGCCCCAGAGCCCACAGTGCACTGATGGGGCTTCCTACCCTCACCACATGCAGCTGCTGGCTGCTTTCTGCAAATTCATCCTACAGCAAGGCACGAGGAGCTGAGGCTGTTCTCCAACACACGTCAGCCTTCATTTGTCATTGCTGGACTCCAGCTGCTGCTCCCTACACATCCGTGCAACCAGCAGAGAGCAAAGAAGCTCCCTGGGACAAGCCTCCACTTTGTCACACTTCCTCATCAGGATCTGGGACAGGCCCCACGCTTGCCTCCTTTTTGTACCCGAACCCAAATGTGCTCCCTGCCCTTTATGTCCCAATTATCCATCTCCTCTCTTTGGTCTGATCTCAAAATCCAGTGTGGCCTCTTCTTTTGTAACCAAAAAATGTTCTGTGAAGTTCTTATCATAAGTTTTGTTCTGCAACATCCAGGTGAACTACCTCACTTGGTTCTCCTCCATCACTTTCCTGTCCTCCTCCTGGACAAACAATGCCAGTAAAATGAAGAGGTTTTTCTTTTCAAGACACTGGACCACATCAACCTCAAGGCATGACCATTCCCTCCTATAGGATTCAGTGGTCCCTAAGGCTAGTTTCCATATAACACCCCTACACACACAACCTCTTTCTCCATGTAGGTCTCCACAGCCCATTTCTAGGTTACTTCCCCAGTCAGCTCTTACAAAGTTCCAGAATCCTCAATACAGCTGAGCAGTTTCACAAAGCATCTAAGCCCTGTGACTCATCACCCTTCTATGAAGAAGACACCTTGTGTTGTCACTCTAAAAAACAGTTCCAAACCACCAGAAGAAACGTATTTGAGACTTTAAGGAAAGGGAGGCTGAGGTCAAGAGCAGGATGCTCCACAGATGGGAGGCACTGCTGTCCCTACTCACCCTGCACGTGCTCCAGGTGGAGGAAGATGGAGTCTTCACTCACGTAGTAGCACAGCAGCTTGACCATGAAGGGGACCCCATGAGGGATGATAGTCTGTCGTTCACGGGTCTCAACATGGGATTTGGGGAGGCTCTGAGGAGGTACAGGTAGATGGATGTTACAGCACAGTAGAGGCTTAGGCTCCCCGCAACCTCACACCTGGCAGGGCAGGAGGCCATCTGCTATTTGCTAAGCCCCATGGCTGGCCTCATGTGTCACCCACGGTGGAGCTCCCTGTCAGCCCCAGCACCCATCTGTGACAAGGCAGGGCTCTACAAAGCTCTGCCAAGGCAGAGCACTCTTAACCTGCACGGCAGGACCCAGAGGACACTGCTGGTCCACAGCAGTGGCCTTCCCCTACAACTGCCCCTACTTCCTTCAGATGGGAATCCATCATCCCAGCCCTCTCTCCTCTCCCTCTGAAGCTGACGCTTCTCCCTGTCATGCCAGAGCCTCCTTGTCCAATTATAAAGTCCTTTGGTTTTAGTTCCAAGGGTGCTGGAAAAAGGCCTAGGACTTGCACTGACCACTCCTCACCCACCAGCTGTTTCAGGGGTTGATGCAGACTAACATGCATTTATGAACAGATGACCAAGAAGAACCACTTCCCTTCCGATCACCCTCTGCCCCAGCCAACTGCTTGGACAAGGAGGCTCTGGCATGACAGGGAGAAGCAGGAAGATGAAACTGAAAACACCCACCTTAAGTATAAAGGTCCCACCAGTAGCTGGATCCTGGACGATCTGCACCTGGGAGCAGTATACACAGTACCAGTCAGAAGTGGTGACGGCTCCCAGCCCAACACACACCCATAGGCACCCAACACACAGAGGAATGACCCACAGACTCAACTCTGGAACAACAAACTCCCACCCGACTAGAGGAGTTTGGTGGTGCTTAAACCTCTAGTCTTGAAAGACAAAACACAGGTTATTAGCAATGAGATGGCCACAAACCCAGGGAGTTAATTAAAGACCGAGGTGACTCCCGCACCATTTTTGCTTCCTTCACAAGGAAGGGTTTCACATTGCTCTTTCTAACCTCTGTGGGGTGTGCTGGGATGCCCACCCAGGCCTCTGCAGGACAGGAGGACCACATCAGTCCTGACAAACTGAGATGTGTGAACAGCAGAGGAGAGCAAGGTGCCAGTGTGTGTACAGAGATGGTAAGCCACCTTCACTCCAAGACCACAAATTACTAATTAGTTGATTCACCCATATGGCTTGTCTTCTGCTGAAGTCTAGATTACCCATAGGAGTCCGCCACCGTGGTACCTAGGCATCAAGCATGATTCCATGCATGGGAAAGAACCGGATTTGTCAATCTCCTTGTAAATATCTTGGAGGATCTTATAAGCAAAAGGAACGGGGACATTAACAGATTTTCCAACTAACCCCTAAAGGGTCTTGCATCCTTGCCTGTGAGTTCTCCTTGGTGGGAATGGTGTGGATGGTAACCCTCACATTCCTTGGCGGGTGTGCTGGGGGACAGCCCCCCACCCCCAGCTGCCAGGACCCTCTAGGTCACACTCCCCTTGCTCCATGCCCAGCCTCACCCCCCCCAGTTCCAGGTCGAGTCATTACCTTATCGATCACTCCCACAACCTTGCAGCGTCTCAGGTTCTCCACTGCCGAGCTCAGCGTCCTGATGGGCCGGAAGCGCAGGCTGCTGTAACCCTGCGAGGTGGAGAAGAAGAGGATGAGGTTCCCAGAGATGCCACTGTCTGTGAGAGCGGGTGGGAGAAGTCCCCGCATTTTCCAGAGCGGGCAGCAGTACTGCCAGGGCTGGTCAACATCCAGAGACAACTCTCCAGCTGCCATGGTGTCCCTGCCCATGGCAAGGGGGTTGGAACTTGATGATCTTTAAGGTCCCTTCCAACTCTAACCATTCTATGATTCTATGGTTGATTCCTAACATCAGCTGGACCGTTTCCTTGGCCAGCTCCTGGATTTCTGAGGATTTGAGGGAAAGTTTGCACCTGCAGCAGAGGTAAAATCACACCAAAACTTACACCTGGACCGGGACTGCCTCAACGCTGAGGGGATCTGTACTGAAGGTAGTTGCTGTTCTCCTCTCGTCCTTCCCACCAGACACCCACCCTGCCCAGCCTCACTCCCCTCTCCCTTCATTACCCACCTCCTTCCCACAATGCATCTTTGGTTTCCATCCAGATGGAAACAATGACAGGGAAGATGACATTTTTAACATCTGACGAGGTGGCTTTCCCCAGTGGCTTCAGTCCCACCAAAAATAGCCATTTTCACTATAATGGCTGCAAGGTGAAACACACACACCTCGGGGGGAGTAGAAGGGGAGACAGTCCTGGGATCACCCTGGTCAAGCTGGGCCCACCACAGCTCCTTGCTCCAGGCAGGGCAAAGGGCTGCCAGCTCCCTGGCAGCCACCAGCACGCCGGGACACCCTGCAGCTCATGTGTCTTCTCATGTGCCATTTTCTCTAGGCCACCTTACCATGACATCTGGCAGGGGTGGCTGAGGATGCTCAGCAGGGCTGCTTTATGTGTGTCCCCCCCTGCCCCAGGTTTCTCAGTGCCACCGATCCACTGCCATCCAACCCGTGCTGCCCCACGCCGCCCCTCACCGTGGCAGTGGGGTTGCCACCCCCCGCAGCCCGCTGGAGGTGGCAGTTGAAGATCTCCTCCGCACGCCTCAGGTACTGTGTGATCTTCCGCTTCACGGCCTCCCGACGCTCCTTGTTGGGGTCAACTGTGGGTGGTGCAGAGGGTGGGCATGAGGGGCCTGCCGTGCTCCCTGGAAGGATGCCCTGGTCCCCTGGCCACACTCCCCAGGGGAATGCCTTTGGCTGTGCTCCCTGGAGGGATGTCCCAGTCCCCTGGCTGGTTTCCCCAGAGGCATGCCCCAGCCCCATAGCCATGCCCCCCAGAGGGATACCCCAATCCCCCAGCCATGCTCCCCGGAGGGATGCCCTGGTCCAGTTTCCCCAGAGGGATGCCTTGGGGCCTGGCTGTGGTCCCTGGAGGGTTGCCCCATCCTGACCACACTCCCCAGATGGATGACCTGGTCCCCTAGTTGGTTTCCCTAGAGGGATGCCCTGGCCCCGAGCTGTGCTCCCCAAAGAGATGTCCCATCCCAACCACAGTCCCCAGAGTGATGACCTGGTCCCCTCGTTGGTTTCCCCAAAGGGATGCCCTAGCCCCTGGCTGGTTTCCCCAGAGGGATGCCCAGACCCCCCCTCCGTGCTCCCCAAAGAGATGTCCCCTCCTGACCACACTCCCCAGCGGGATGCCCTGCTCCCCTGGCTGGCTTCCCCGGAGGGATGCCCCAGTCCCCAGCCCTGCTCCCCGGAGGGATGCCCCCGGTCCCCCGCCCGCCGAGGCGGCCCCGCCGCACCCTGCACGCCGCGGAGCAGCACGTCCACGCCGTTCTGGTAGTGGTTGAAGGCCTCCTCGTAGTCCTCGCTGACGTCCCGCTCCAGCGCCAGCCGCAGCTGCCGCGCCGCCTCCACCAGGTAGTCCCGCCGCCCGCCGCCCTCCGGTCCCGCCGGCGAGACGCGGCTCCGCAGCTGCCCCAGGTAGACGCGGGCCTGGGCCAGCGCCCGGGAGCAGGGCTCGGCCTCCGCCCGGCTCATGGCCCCGCACCGCCGCCCTGCGCCGCCGGGAGACAGGCAGCGGGGGGAGGCGCGGGTGAGGCCCTTCCGCCGCCCCGG